TTGCTCRTAGAAAATGCCAACTCATTCAAACATTTTTCATTTAGTTATTTATTAATCCGTGGTACGGAGTTCAATAATAAAGATTAAAAAATTAAAAAATTAAAATATTAAATTTTAAATCAGTGGATAGTAACTTTTTTGTAACCAATTGTTATAGCAGGAATAAACGAATTTGTGGTTGTGATTTCAATCAACTCGGGTAAAAAATATAGCGATCAAATAATATGGTCTAAAATTATATCTAATCATAATCGAATTAAACATAAAAACAATTTTATTTCATGTTACTTCAGTGACAACAATTTATTTGAAAAAAAAAATGTTTATTTCTACTATATAGGTATTACCATTATATCTATTATAACCAATCTATTAATATACATATTACATATATAACCAATGGAAAACAATTATAAACAAATAGAAAATTTCCATTTCCATCGTGAATCTCAAAATCCTCGGGAGTATATGACAATATATTCTCTGCACTCTGCAGCAGTACACCATTAGGTTCGGTTTGGCGGTATACGAAGTTACTAATCAAAATATCAWGTTCCTACAACTATCATCAATTAGGCTCTACGTTGATAAGTCAGTCAGCTAGGACACATTCGATTATATTATTAATTTAAATTCTAACCATTACATCGTATTATAATATCTGTTGGTCGAATATATCTATATTTACCGTTCTGATCGAAGAAGCTGTACCTAAATAATATATGTGCATAAAATAATTATTGCAATATAATAATAAGCATTAGGTAAGGTAAACGCGCGCAGTGTATACTTCAGGTCGATCGCATTGTAAATCGTAATAATTATGCACGTCAAATCATCTCGCATACCCATAATAATACACATACATAGCATATAAGTACTTCTTATAAAGTAGTTACTATAAGTTGTATGAGTTTACCTACGCGCATTAAAACGCGATAGGTATATAGTTACGAGTTTCGAACGACGGTGAAATTCGCGCAAATAATAATAATAATAATAATATATTATACACTATACACAGGTAATATACCTAATAATAATCACAATATTATTATAATAATATACTGCAGGTGTACAAGGTGTAATAATACGGTTTGGCCTTCGCCTTATTACCTGGCTATATTATAATATTATTACACGTTTTTAAACCACGGGCACCGCTATAATATATAATACACACCATATCTACACTGCAGTTACCGACAGTGGTAGTAGTATAGGTAGGTATATACACCCCATGTACGGATGACAGCTCGTACGTATAACATATTATACCTGTTTTAACGAGATTCTGGTTAGACGAATTTGATTTATCCGCATAGGCAGCGAGACCGGCGGTCAGCATCACCGCCGTCGATCGTCGGCTTTCCGACGCACAAACGAGCCGACGATCGCGATTCAACATAATTATGCTTGCGGTGTGTGTGTGTGTGTGTGTGTGTGTGTGTGTGTATATATATACGGCTATCAATTACAACCGTATATATAGTTGTAGGTACCACATCATATACGGTGGCTTTATGTGTATATGTTCTAAGTGCACGCACGCACTCACGGAGATTATAATATATGACGTGACGGCGATGTATCGAGAAGCGGCACACGCTAGCCGTTAACGAATATGTGCCACGGCGGATTAATTATATTATTATTATGCGCCCGAGTCGTCACGTATACAATAATAAATTATAATATGTAAAGAATCGAATCTCGGATCGAGCGCTCGTCGTATATACTATATAGTATATAAAAATTATATACATATAATAATATGTGTGTGTGTGTAGGGATATACATGCATACATTACATGTTTATGGTAAATCCACGAGTCCTGCGATTAAGGACAACTTTTCAAAGAGTATAATTGGATACTTTTGTTGGTGCGTACCTACTGCGTATTGGCCAAAATTGTCGGTTATCAGTTGTACATCAAATAGAAAATCGCAGGAATCGATTGATGACGTAGTTTTTATTTTCGAAAACGTACCTTACATATTATTATAATTACACAAAAATTACATTAAAATATTTTTTAAAAACGACTAGTTTTTCCAAGTTATTATAATATATTTTAGAATCTGTTTTTCATCAAAACGAACTATTTACCTATGTTATAGCTATTACAACAATAATATGTTTTACAAAACCCACTCTTATCTCTATACTTTACTTAAGCTTATTTAATTGGATAAAATTTAAATGATGAGCCAGGGAGGAGTGTTGTTATAGTTTATTTATCTTACGTGTTAGTTTATGAKACATAGCAAGTGTAAACAAATTTCATATTGTGAAAACAGGGGATAAAATTCAATCTAATATATATAAATTATTTGTTAATGATTTAATTAGGATAGACGCAATAAATTGTTGTTTTTTATAAACATTTTAGAGTTTGTTAATCTTCGACTAGTAATATTTTTTTAAAGTTATTTTGGGAGATAATATATTTTCTAGGAAGTTGGTGTGTTATAACCTATAACATAACATACTTAAACAGTTACACTTAGTTATATGTTCATGGCAAAACGCGAAGTTTCCAGGAAATGTTAATTTTGTATTTAAAAAAAAAGTTACAGTTTAAATTTCAATCTTAAAAATGTGCTTAAATAAATGTATTACATTTTTTAAGGTATAGATAATGGATATACTGTATACGGCATACGTATTATGTATGTATTGGGAACATTTTTAGGCCATTACTGTACAGTTGATATTTTGGAAATAGACAAAAGTAAATTTTGGGTTGCCACTAATTGCTCCTCGTATATAATATGTTAACTTTATAATTTAAATAATATTATGCGCGAATGGTAATGAAGTCCGTTCGTGTGCGGACACGTGTTTGTACAGATCTCAATGGCCGGCGGATGTGCAGAGCGTGTTTATCGGTCTGGTTGACGTAAATGCAATATCCCATCGATTATAATATGCGGTATGGAAATATTAGGGAGAAAAAATTTACGATAACGAAACCTAGACGGGTTTGACGTCCGTATGCTGTACAGCGCGCATAACATTATATTTACATCGTAAGTCATATACCAGTGATAATAATTCATGAGAGTCATAATATTATAATATCTATACGAGAATTCATGGACAGCAATGCACGTCGGTTGAGTGTACGCAAAATAATCATCGAGCATAATAATATTATAAATTATACATTTTTGTACAATCCTGTATACACGAAATAACGAATAAAATATACGCGCACGGTGGTGTAGGGCCTACTGTATTTCCTAAACACGACGACGTAGTTTGACCTTACCCAACAGTTTCGGAGGTCATAATTATATTCGATCCTCTATTATTATTATTTATTTTAATATATTATGTTATTCGTAAAACTGTTTACGAAGTCAAGGCGGCAYCGAGCAGTACTCACAAATAACAACGATAATAACGTAATTGCATAACAAACTACGTATACTATGTTGACGGTCGAGTCGTACGTTTTATTTGAAGTTACCGTAGAATTACACACGAGTGTATAAAAACGGATAATACGCGTATTTAGGGTGAAGGTATATTTACGGTTTAATATATTACGCAATAATAATACATTAGACCTCCTGCATAATATTATACAAAAACTGAAATTAGGCGGCAAATGTACAGCGTAGATATATWACAATATAATGCGCCTGACCAGTATACATATTATAATAACATTACAAGAGAGATCAAATCAACAGGTCAGCGCAATCGTGTAATGGTATACCACGGTCAATCGAGACGGCGTCGGGATCCGTACAATATAATAATAGTAATGTAATGTATTTAGGTGGTACAGATGAACAATGCAACAACGCAGAGGGTGGTGGTGAGGGCGTCGTTGGTTGCAGTAGTAGGACAATGTATCGAGTCGTAACAAAAAATAAAATAAAATAATAAATGTTGAAATCTTCCGAAACGGTAATTATTGCCGTTTCGGAAGATTATTATACGATGTCATCCATTATTATTAGTTAATACAGGTGTAGGACTGTTACCTACACATTAAGTAACGTATTATTGAAATGATACCTATGTCTGCAGCGAAACGACCCAGAATTAAACTGAAAAAGGGTTACTGTACATCACACCCGGAACCTATACCGCGGTAACTCGACCCGCGTCGAAGCACATGCTTTGCGTAGGTATCGGCGGTATATACATTTGTAATGTATTACATAGTATCGGATGGATGTCACGTGTCTGCCGTCAGATCGCATATACCCTCGTGTACCGCGACTTTACCTGATAAGTGATAATAATAATAATAATAATAACTAGCGGTACACTTATTTGGGGAGGTATACTAGTATACTACACGACAGAATCGAAACCTGTGCGAACATGTTGCAAAACGGTCAGCGAAAACGATGGGTAATAAAACATTCAGCATCACACAATAAGATATATAACACAAGAAAACGACATCGCAATATCATTCGCGTAAAATGTATATCTATAGAATATATTATACAATATAAGGAGAAGTCGTACAAAAGAAAAGGATCCAGCGTGTTGCACTTACGGTATTGTGCAGGTCCGAACGGGTCCGTGACGGTATATACGCATTATTATACATATATATATATGATATACGACGACGACGAACGAGGGATGAAAAAAAACCCCTTACACACACGATATAATATAATAATATGCGTTCAACAATAATAATAATAATAATAATAATATATTAAATCTCGCGGGCGTAGGGAGTTCTGCGGCGGTCACGGGCGAGGGCGTAGCGCGGGGTCGATTCGGGCTCGCGCGCGCAGGTGCAGTTTGTGCGGGCCGCGAGGGTCGTCCACAGCGCCGCCGCTCCATTCGCCATCTGCCGCGTACTCCGCCATGGGATCGCGAGAATCCGAGGTTTCTCACGGTCCCGTCCGTGCGCGTTCGAGACCACTGCACGGCGCCGCATCTGCCAACACCTGCCCCCATCGCTATGCCCCTATAAAAGAGCCCGCCGCCCGTTCGGCAGGCAACAGTACACCGTCGAACGGCATACCGAGCACATCGCACGTCGTCACCCTTATCACACTACACCGTATCAGTGTTGTTATCATCGTCGTCGTGAAAACTACTAGTGTCACTATATATTATTTTCGTTATTATTATATAATATCACCGTTCGTTATCAATCGTGTTATTTACTTCCGGATCCGAACAATACATAAAATGGCTTATCTATCAAACAGCTTCGACTTCGAACACATGCAAAACTCGACCAACTGGGAAGCCGTCCATAAGAAACGGTCTTTCGTCGCAAGAAAGATGCACAAAATCAACAAGGTAAGCGTCGACATACTATATTAWTATATAATATCGTTATCGACATAACTTTCGGCATCCGATCACACCTTGTGCGATTTWTCTTTGCGCCTTTTTTTCTACGCAGACCCATCTAACGGAATTGTTTTTTTTTATGTTTACAGACTATCAAACCGATACTGAGAGCGTTGTGCCGCCGAAATGCAGTTACCCCGGCCGCCCAGCAGGACGGTTCGGCTCTGGACCCACGGGGTCTATCACCCGAAGAACTGGAGAACCTTCAAAACGAATACATCGAACGCAAGCTATCACAGGCTGTCGTGTACGATGAAGACGACTATTACTCGGACACGATCAGCATCGAGTCCGGACTTGGCATGTCATTCGAGGAACTCGTCCGGCCAGCCGATCGCAGACAACTCGTATCCTTGTTGCCGGAAGCCGGATACTACATGTCTCGYGATTTCTGGTTCGAATCGGACTCCCGCACCGCCGGTCGACCATCATTCACCAGCCAACAGACGCCCCAGAGACAGCAGCCCTGCAGGTACTAATAATGCACCAAGTTGCTATCGTCCGTCGGTCTACGCCGACCCGTCTCGTCCGTCCGCCCCCGAAAGTCTTTCGCCATTTGCTCAAAACTCGTTTCTATATATTGTACTAACATGTATATAATGTGTGTTTGCGTTCGTGTGTAATTTTTATTTATTTATTTTTTTAATTTTATATTTTTGTGGTATCTATTTTACTGGGATCTCTAAACAGTGTAAACCATTTTTACCACCTGTAAACGTGTTCGTATAATAATATATTATATATTGATCGCACTATTGATCATATATCGATCAGCCAATATATAGTATTTATATATACATATTATATTATATTAGTAGATTTAAATTATGTTTATATGAAAGATATTTTATCGTCTTGCGATTCTTTACTGATTATGATTATAATTTATATTATTTTTTTTTATATATATATACTTAAGACCTAACAAATATATTTTTATTTTTGTTTAAAAAAAAATATTTGTACAATAATGTATTACGAATTTGTATGTATATAAAACGCTGTCGTATGCATTATTACGATATATTTGTGATAAATAATTGTTTTTTTCAACAGCGATTCTGTGATTCAATTTTAACAGCTGCAGTTATCTACAACTAACTGTGGTTATTGACTGATAATGTTTATATTATACTATATTGTGTTCCTTTGTTATAAATAAAATTGAGAAAATTAATTGATTTTAAACACGTTGTTGTCTATATTATCGGCGCTCGAGCCACAGGTCATTCCTATCCCAGTTCATATTTTTCTGTATTATTATTATAATTGTTGAGGTATTATGTATACAGGTAAATTATATAGAGGTATAATAAATAGGCGCTCGACTGCTTGAGCACATTATAATATATAATTAAAATAGTGGTAATGTGTAATGTATAATACATATAGATAGCTGTTGGTTACATGCGCAGTGCAGGAGGACATCGTTAAAACTGGATCAGAATATTATTTGACTATCATTATCAGCGTTTGTGTTCGTCGAATATTTTAATGAGTGTACAGTGACGCGTGCAGTCGTTTGGTGTAGAAACTCGTGTGGGTATATCATATTATTATTATAAATGATAATGTTGACCAGACAATGTATGCCTACTGCATGTAAAAGGTAAAATACACATGTACGCYGTATACTGGCAAGTGGCAAGTATATAAAATAAAATATTGTTATTATGCATTACAACACGGTATACTGCACGTGCCGCGCGTTGTCTGCGCCTACAATATCATAAGGTTTTTTTTTATAGTTTTCTYTCGAAGTAGGTGACAAAAACGTGTCCACGTGATTCGATGACCAGACAGTATATTATAATATTATTATATTGTTTAACACGGTTATCATCACCATTCTAAATCGCCATCAGAGGTTAAATGCTGTTGTCAAAATTGTATTTCACTATTGTCTATTGTACTTGGACTAATATGGTCAAAACACGCGCGTCGAGACTTGATACCAAAACAAACATTCCACAGTCGCCCTAGTCTAGACGTTGCAGTGTCTCGATTAAGCAATAATTTGGCTAGACAATCGCCTATATATACTACATATGACTATGGCATTTTTATTTTATAAYACTTAAGTACATATTTTCGATGTAATAATAATATGTACGATTGATTTTTGCCAACACAAACTGACATGACGTGCATGCGACATTTGTAACGACATTATATCCGATAACAGTATAGGTCAGGGGGCGTTTGAAAAATGATTTTTATTGTTGTCGTCGGAGAAAATTAACAACGCATTACATTTTTTTAGTTGAATTAATTATTAATAATATGCGAAAAATTTTCGTCGATTGTTGTACTGCAATATAAAACACTATAATATGATTATACCTACGACATCATTCCACAACATCGATAACATAGTATAATACATTTTATAGGTTCGTTAAAATTATATTGTAGTGTTTATATAAAACATATTTTGTATAATTTTTCAAATTGGCCACCTAACCATTATTTTTTTACCATACCATACCCATATTTTAGTATTTTAATTATATTATTATTTACGACAATTATTGATAATCCTTTAAATTACGTGAAATTAACTGTATTTTTTATTATTTTTAATATTATATTATATAAATCTATTTAAAAATATAGGGTATTTGAGTTATATAATTTTATTATATTAATGAATATTGTATTTTTTAGACGAAAATGTTTGAATTGTTTTTTGAAATATTTTTATCGGTTATTGTTTAACATACAATCGACGGAATCAACATAAACAATTATTTGACGGAATTATTATTAAAATAGCGGAGTCGGTAAAACCCCAATTAAATCAATATTTTTTTTAAAAATAATTGTTCGAATAAAAATAAAAATCGTGGGAAGTATTTAAATTTTTAATATAGCTAGCTACTTATAAAACAAAATGGAAATATAAGTTAATGATATTTGTACATAGCCTATGTAACATAGGTAATGTAAGGTAGGTACTATATTGTTAAATAGTAGCGATTATAACACATTTAAATATTTATAAAATTATTAATAATATAATATCATTATCTTAGATGATATTATATACTATCATAAGTCGTAAAACTTCAAATAACGTTATAGCTTTATAATATTTAACAATTGATTATACATCAATATGGTAATAGATAATAAACGTACGACCAAAAACCATACGTGGGCATCAATAACATCAAAATATATTTTATGTCCATTATTATGATACTTTTGCTTTTTTTAGTGGTCTTAATTTGGTCTCTTATCGCATTCGAAATTCTTGGAATGTTGGGATGTTATCTACGTTTATTATATTTTTGTTTCATAAAATGGTTCTAAAAAACACACGAGCTGTGACGATAATAAAATACGTATATCACAACAGCAACTATAAACCAATATTATATGTGTGCCAAGGTATTGTGCCGTCAATGAAATTCGGGCAGGAAACCTTTCGGCGAATTTCACGACTGTAAAAAAAACCTCGGTTGTCCTTGACTATAAAAGAAAACACGCGTGTACCTACTGCAGCATTATTTCAGGCTCGAAAAATTTGAATTAGATTTTACCATTATATATTTTATTCGGACGGAAAAAAGCAAGATTCGGAATAAACAATCAGTTTTTTATTATCTATATACCTTATATATACCTATATGAAATGTTATGTCAGTGGCTTATAATTATTATTATCATAAAACCCCAATATATAAACACCACACGTGTACTACACGTTGTGAATATTATATAATAATATTGTATATATACACGTCGGCGGCGTTTATTTAATCGTTTGCGTTTTGTTTTCGTTCCGGAACATTTGGCGTCGGCTTATAAAAAAAATAATCGCCGACGGCCAACCCGTGCGCGTTTCTCTGGTGGGTCGAACGGATAAAATCAAAAACCTATTGTCTCTTCGCGGGTCTCTCAATACACCCGTGCACAATGAGTCGCCATTTATTACCTATAAGTATGTAGTATATATTATTATGCTCTGCAGTGATCGTTCTACATTATACACCTACTTGAAAATGTATTAAATTATATTATAATATTATCAGCGAGACAGAAAAAGAAGATATGCGTGCAATATCTGTATGTACTATACCTAGCTATACTGGCTATACTGTTATATACTATATACTAATACTATATTGTAATTGTTAAGTCACAGAGATCCGACAAGTTGAATATTAAGGGTAAAATATACGGTTTCAGTGGTTTCACGCACCAATCAAACAACTCTATAAATTCATAAAAAAWTTTTTTCTTTGCAAATGCAAGATAAATTTTCGAGATTTAAAATTCTTATTTTTCATAGAGGTACTCTCTGCGTGTATAGAGATAAAAAATTGAAGAAAATCGTGAATAATAATTCATTTTACTTTTTCCACATTATAATATTAYATAATATTATGATGGTGTATCCAGTGGTGGCGTGAACTATTTTATTTCATCATGAAGCAAGTTTAGATGCTCGATCACCGCCACCTAAATATTATCACACATACGTTTCATAACTCATATTTTATAATATATTAATAAATAATAACAATACAACTTTATAGTGTTTCCGGTTTCGTGCAGTTACCACGATACCACGTTATTGTACACACTACACATAGTATATTTCCAGTAACCGTGAGGTACAAATTATCCTAATTATTATATAATTAGTATAAATAGTATTAGTTGACCACTTGACCATATGTGTATTTTAATATTCATTCAAGGAGGTACCACCACATAATCGGTCGATAGCCAATTGCCTCATGAAACACCCTATCACGCTACCACTGGGTGTATCCTATATATAGATAGGTACTATTCACTTATGGCGGGGAGTGCTTTCGCATTTCTTCCGCTGCGTCGTCGGTTGAAAACCGAAAAAAAAAAAAAGGTACTATTCACTAATAATCAATATGTCCGTATTTATATAATATAATATAGTAAATAATTATACAGTAATATAAACTATATAATTATACATGACTTTTATAACTATTTACCACACAAAAGTAGTTCTCCAACCGGTAAATTTAATGATATTTTTTTATTTTTTCTATATTAGCTATGTTCAATTTTTTTTCTTAACACCGGTTTTCGGTATTGAGAACTGTGAATTAACTTTTTTTTCAGTTGATGCACTACATGCACCAATAGTTTATTATCTATTCTATAGCAAAGACGATCTATCGGAAATTCGTATAAAAACACACATTTCACACGACAATGTTCGTCAAAATAACGACTTGTATAGCTACACGTTTTATCAACATTTTCCTCTCAGTTATAAAGATGATTTTCAAAAACTTTATAATTTAACTAATAAGTCGGTGTTTTATAATATATCGCAACTTAATAGCTTAACTATTAGTACTGTTATAATGTAAATGTGTTATGTGTAATATGCTTAAACCTCAGATTTAATACATGGATGCATGCGAATATTACGGATGAGTGATAAGAATAAGAATAATAACGTTGATGCTTTTTTAACGAAATGTTTTTTATACTTAAAAAAAAAAAAAATTAAAAGTTGCTAAGCAGTCATGATGACTATGCTATAGTATTATGTGATCAAGGTGATATAAAAACAACTATAACTGACTTCATTTTAATCGAACAAAGTTAGGTYTTCGTTCCGTAAATATATAATATATAGACTTTCAACTTTTCGAGTTAAAAGTTTATTGTTTGTTAAACGCATTGACAACTATTAACGTTCTTATCGGACTTGATGTATTGGCGACTCGTGTCTAGTAGAACATAACCGACGACCTGCAGTTAATCCACTCATTGAACATCATAATATAATATATCAATCATAATATACATAATTTATTAGGTAGGTAGTGTAGTGTTGTTGCCACTGCATATCGCGATCGCGACGACGCGTAGGCGATATACCCGTGGAATAAATCGAGAACGTGCAGCGCCGAGCGGAAAAAAAATCCGAGAAAATAATAAAGTCACGGGGGGGATMGACGCGGACACGCGTGCCCTCCGGGGTGCTACGATAATCATTATCGTAACGCGTATACACAGAACAACAATAACAAACACACACACACACTCGCGATGTACATATTATGTGGAGTAACGGAGCAACGGAGAGGGAGAGAGATACATTTGCGGATAATACTGCAGAGAAGGAAACAGCTAGGTATATAGACAGATAATATGGACGGAAAGAGAGAGACAAAGACAGA